TCCTGGGTTTAATTTTCAGTTTGAAGCAAATTCAAAACTCTGCATCATTTCATTTGTAAATATCACAAGATGCATTGAAAAAATAGGATAATTCTTTTCCCTCTACAACATGACAATATCATTATCACATATAAAAAATTAAAAATAGTTTTTTAATATCAAATATCCAGTGTTCAAATTACCAATAGTCTCAAATATTGTGTTTTTTAAATAAATTACTTTTTAATCAGGATCCAAATAAGTCTACATATTGTGATTGGTTTATATCTTTAAAGTCTCTAGGCTCTCTCCCAGTCTCTGTAAGTTCTTTCTCACTCTTTCTTTCTCTCTCCCTTCCTATCTCTCTCCTTCCCCTCTTCCCTCTCCCTCCCTCCTTCTTCCTGCCTTCCTATTTCCCTGTTTCCCTTCTCTTTTTCTTCTTGCCTTCTTTTTAAGGTAAAGAAACCAGTGTTTTGTCCTGTAGCATTTTCCATGATCTGGATTTTGTTGTTTGTCTGCCATGGTGTAGTATAACTTGTTGCTTTATCCTCTGTAGTTGGTGGTTGGATCTGGAGGTTTGGTTAAATTCACATTCAGTTTTGTTGTTTTGGCAATTACTTCATGAGTGGTACTGTTGTGTTTCATCACAGTGACAGAATGTCTGCTTGTCTCTCTCTTTTTGTGGTATCAGCAGTTATTCATGCTCAATACCTAAGTGCTTGATTCTTAGGGATTATAGTAGGATTACATTTGAATTCTATCATTCTTTCTTTGTTTCTTAGCTAGAATACCTATAAAGAAAAACTTCTCATCTCCTGGTTACTTACTGAGTGGTGTAGTTCATATAAGAAAAATAGGATAAGGTGCTTAAGTCTTTTCCTTTATTTCCAGGTTTAAAAAAAAAAATGCCAAGAATTCCTTAGCATCCTTCATTGGTAATTGATTAGTGGCTTAGGTTTGTTTGTTTTACATGCCATGGATTTAGATGAGTGCTTCTGGACATTTCAGTCATTATAATTGTACAGTCTTATCTCCGACTATTAGGAGCTTCCTCAAGTTGTTCTTAAGTCCTTTTGACACGATCCTAGTAGTCTTTGATAGTTACTTTGCTATTTGGTATGACAAGCTGTCCAGGCTCATTTTGTGTATTACTTCCCCAAGTAGGTACCAGTCATTTGTTCAGGGCAATCTAATCTCTTTTAGTGTGAAATGATATTTGAAGGCCACAATTTGGGCACTAGTAATTTTTTGATGTATGTATCTGTCAAGATTTTTTTTTCTAGGTGCTGTGTGTGTGTGTGTGTGTGTGTGTGGTTTCTATATATTTTTAAAACATGTTTATATTTTGAGGGTGTTTTAAAAGTAAGAAATAGACTCATAATGTACTTTTAAACTTGTTTTTCTCTTTAAGAGAGTGTTCCATAGATATCATTTTATACCTATTCACATAGATACACCAAATTGTTTTTTAATAAACAGTATTTTTAGGGTACTTTTATACTCACAGCAAAATTAAACAGAAGGTACAGAGATTTCCCATACATTCCTGCCTCCACACATAGATAGTCTGCCTAATTACCGACATCTCCCACCAGAGTGGTACATTTGTTACAGTGGATGAACTTACACCATAGTCACCTAAAGTCCCATCATTTATATTACAGTTCACTTTTGGTGTTGTACATTCTAGTGGTTTGGACAAATGTGTAATCACATGTATCCACCATTATAGTATGATACAGAATATTTCTACTTCCCTAAAAATTATCTTTATTGTGTATCCACTGTATATCCCTCCATCTCCCCAACTCCGTGCAATCACTGCTCTTTTTACTGCCTTTATAGTTTTGCCTCTTCTAGAGTGTCTATAATATAGAATAATGCAATATGTAGCCTTTTCAGATTGACTTCTTTCATTTAGTATTATGCATTTAACTTTCTTCCATGTCTTTTCATGACTTGATAACTCATTTCTTTTTAGTACTGAATAATATTTCATTGTTTGGATGTACCACAGTTTATCCATTGAAAGGACATCCTGATTGCTTCCAAATTGTGGCATTTATGAATAAAGCTACTATAACTTTGTGCAGGTTTTTGTATGGGCATCAGTTTTCAACTCCTTTGGATCAAATACCAAGGAACATAATTGCTGAATCATATGGTAGGAGCATATTTAGTTTTGTAAGAAACTGCCAAACTATCTTCCAAAGATGTTATACAATATTATATTCCCACCAGCAATGAATGAGAGTTTCTCTTGCTTTAAAACATCTGCATCAGCATTTGATGTTGCCAGTGTTCTGGATTTTGGCCATTCTAATGGGTTTCTAGAGGTATCTCATTGTTATTTTAATTTTAATTTGCATTTCCCTGGTGATATGACGTGGAGCATTTTTAAATATGCTTGTTTGCAGTCTGTATATCTTGTTTGGTTAGGTGTCTGTTAAGGTCTTTGGCCCATCTTTTAATTGGTTGTTTGTTTTCTTATTCTTTGGATTAAAGAGTTCTCTGTATATTTTGGAAAACCATCCTGTATCAGGTATATCTTTATCTGATAAATATTTTCTCCCAGTCTGTGGCTTGTCTTTCACAGAGCAGAAATTTTTAATTTTAATGAAGTGCAGCTTATCACCTCTTTCTTTCATGAACTATGCCTTTTGTGTTGTATCTAAAATGTCATCATCAAACCATAGGCCATCAGATTTTCTCCTGTATTATCTTCTAGAGATTTTATAGTTTTATGTTTTACATTTAGCTCTGTGATCTATTTCAGATGGATTTTTGTGAAGAAGGTGGGGTCTGTATCCATATTCATGTTTTCCATGTGGATGTCCAGTTTTTCCAGTGCCATTTATTGAAAAGAGTGTCTTTTCTCCATTGTATTGTCCTTGCTCTTTTGTCAAAGATCAGTTTACTATCTATATGGGGCTATTTCTGTGATTTCTACCCTGTTCCATTGACCTGTTTGTTCTTTCAACAATACCACACTACTGTCTTGATTACTGAAGCTTTATAGTAAGTTTTGAGGTCAACTAATGTCAGACTTCTAAATTTGCTCTTTTCCTTCAATAGTATGTTGCTATTCTGGGTTTTTTTTTTGCCACTCTGTATAAACTTTAGGATCAGTTTGTCAATATCCACAAAATAACTTGCTGGGATTTTGATTGGGATTGCATTGAATGAGTTTATAGATCAAATTGGGAAGAACTAACATCTTATATTGTCTTTGCATCCATGACATGGAATCTCTCTCCCTTTATTTGGTTTTTCTTTGATTTCTTTTGTCAGAATTTTAAAATTTTCCTCATAGACATCTTGCACATATTTTGCTAGATTTGTGTGTACCTAAGTATTTTACTTTAAGGAGTGCTAATGTAAATGTTACTGTGTTTTTAATTTCATATACCACTTGTTCATTGCTAGACATAGGAAAGCAGTTGATGTTATATATTAACCTCATAGCCTACAATCTTGCTATAATCACTTGTTGATTCCAAGAGTTTTTTAAATTGATTCTTTTAGATTTTCTACATAGATGTTCATGTCATCTGTGAACATCTATTTATTTCTTCCTTTCCCTAATCATTTTAAAACTGAGTAGCAATCTGTGAATTGGAAACACAAATAATTTATTTAATCTCTCCCCATTGGTATGCACGTAAGCTGTTTCCAATTTTTCACTGTTCAGTATAGTGCGGTGTGCACACACGCATACACACATACCTCTTTGAACACAGGTAGGACTATATATGCAGAGAAGTTTCCCAAAGGAGAGATTGTTGAATCCAAGATACTGTATTTGTTAGGGTGGGCTAAGCTGCTACAAAAGTAGATCTAAACATATAATGATTCAGTATAATAGAAGAATGTTTTCTCATATATAACTGTTTTGGGTAAATGTTAGAAGTGATCAGGCAGCTTTGCTCCACACTGCTTTTAACAGACCTAGACTCCTTCCATCTTGCAATCCTGCCATCTCCCAAGACCTCATAACAGCTGGCAGAAAGGGAAAGATAATGTAGAGAAGTCATTCCACTTTTTATAAAAGCCCAGGCCCAAAAATGGAATGTATTATTTTATTTCACGTTGACCACCTCTAAATGCAAAGATGTCTAGGAAGTGTTGACTGGCCACGTGCCCAAGCAAATAAGGAGAGAATGGATTTGAGGAGATGACAAATTGTAGTCTCTGCCTTAAGTATATAAATTTAAAATTTTGATAGGCACTGCCACATTGCTCTCCTAGGAAATCGTACTAATTTACACTCCTACCAGTAATCTATTGAATGTTCCCTTACCTTATCCTCACCAATTCTGGCCATTTTCAGTGTGTGTGTTTTTTTGTTTTGTTTTGTTTTCCAAGCCATCTGAAACAGAGGTGTCTTATTTTTATTTTCATTTATTTTATTGTGTTGAGATTGAGCAACTTTTCATATGCTAAAAGGTCTTGTCTTTGGTATATAACTGGTTCTAAATATGCTTTTTTTTTTTTTAAGTGAACCTATTTTCTCCTTTTTGATGGACTCTGATAATTTTTATCGCAAGTTCTCCATCATGGTTTTTTGTTTTTTTTTTTTGTTTTGTTTTGTTTTTGAGATAGAATCTTGCTCTGTTGCCCAGACTGGAGTTCAGTGGCGCAATCTTGGCTCACTGCAAGCTCGGCCTCCTGGGTTCAAGCGATTCTCATGCCTCAGCCTCCCGAGTATCTGGGATTACAGCCACCCATCGCCACGTCCTGCTAATTTTTTTGTATTTTTAGTAGAGACAGGGTTTCACCATGTTTCTCTTACAACAGTTTTGTTGTCTCTTTTTTTTGCTCTTGACTGTTATAATCAATTTACAAAATAATAAAAAAGAAACCATAGAAGATTTTGGTTTGAATTGCATTAAATTTGTAGTCATTTGTGGGAAAAAAATTTTTCTTAACCAAAAATGAGCATTATTATATCAGGCCGCTATTGGTGTATAGCAAACAACCACAAATGTCAGGGCATATAATAATAAGTATTCTTTCCTCACATTTTTGTGGGTCATCAAGGGTCTGCTGATCTCAGGCAGGGCTTGGCTGGGGCCCTGCTTCAGTTCAAATCCAGCTGGGTGAGTGTGGCACATCATTGCAGTTTGGACTTTTGTCACCTCCAGGAGTGTATTCCCCTGGACTCACAACAAGTGGCAGCCGCTACTCAGAGGAAATTCTTCCTATACTGATAGCAGGTGCAAGAGAATGAACAGAAATATGCAGTGCCTCTAAAATTTAGCCTGGTACACTGCTATTCCTGCCCACATTCCATTGGCCAATATAAGAAAAATGTCCAAGTCCCTAGTCAAGAAGCAGTAGGGTACACCAACTTTTGTAGTTAGTTACATGGCAGAAGACACGTACTCAGGGAGGGTTAAAAAGCTAGAACCAGTAATTGTGATGTGTACCACATCATCCATGATAAGAGAAGTCTAGGGCGTTACCTTTTTGGTTCAGTTCTTTTGAAAAATGTCCCTGAATACAGTTTCATAGGAATTTTATAGCTTTTGCATGTTTCTTAAGTTTATGCTTGTTATTTTTTTCTTTTTGCTTTTTGTTCCATTTATTAATAGGATTTTTTAATGTAATATTTTCTCATTTGTTTTTATCACATAGGAATCTGTTGTTGTGAATAATATTAGTAGGTATTGTAACGTTTGACCCAGCTTTGCATTCCTGGAATTCCTGTAATAAATCAGCCTGGTTAAAGTGAATTATTCTTTTACTATGCTGTTATATATAGTTAGCTAATACTTTATTTAGGATTGCCACAAGATTTAATGAGACTAGTATAATCTATTCATATCTCTTAAAAACATATTAAAAATTAAATTCCAGAAACTTTTATTTGTTTAAATAATAAAGTTGATAAGTTTCACAAAGCAGATATCATTTTACTAATGAAAATTACTTATTTTGATCAGTGGAATAGTGAGGCAAGCAAACCAACTTTTCATGCCCTCAAATAAAAGAAAATATATAAATTTATTTTGACATTAACTAAATTGTTTTCCTGCAGGTTGCTGCTCCAAGATAGCCAAAATGTGGAAGCACTGAGAATGCAGGCACTCTACTATGTGTGTAGGGAGGGGGATATAGAGAAGGTAAGTGGCATTGTATTATTTAAGTTTCCTATATTAAAAAATATATTTCATTACACATACACACCCACATACACACACACACGTGTGTGCATATGCATATACATTAAAGCCTTGAAGTTCTCTTTTAGACTATATGTCATGGTAGTTTTTAGTTGATTATGAGACTATACCTTAACAAAGAAGTCAGCTTCTGAAGTCTATTAGTAAAGCAAAAATATTATACGATTAACATTACCCTTGAAAATCCCTTAAATCATTAATTATAGTATATATGGCTTTCTGTATGAAACTCCTGTGTATGATTAATGTAACCAGTGATACTAGATATGAAAAAATATGTATGCAAAATGTAATTTATAGTATATTTACAATTTAACTGAATTTGCAAAAATTAAGTGGGCTTAGGATAAAACCCCATTGTACCTTATAATAAAGTATATCTGTTTCTGTAGTAGTGAACACATTGACTGTAGATTGGATCATGGAGTGCCAAACTCTAATCTGAAGGAAATAGTGTATAACATGTAGTAGATTTGCACTGTGTTTAGTGTGGTTAAATTGGTTAATGTGACAGTGCCTGATAGATACTTCAGTAAATACTAGGAGTATCTTAGTAGGGGTAAATTTTCCAGGCATTGAAATTACTTGTAGTAAGTACCGTAATAATTTTTTCTATTCTAGAAAATATTTTGATTATAAACCAGTCTATAGAGGCAACTGAAGGGCTGATCTCATATAATTTGTAAATACATTATCATTCATATTTCATTTGTTCATGAATTAACTGTTGGAGGGGGAGCTAGGCATGTAAAGTTAATGAAATATTATGGGTGTCTTTGCCTATCCAAAGGTTTCCATTCAATAACAAGTATTAAAGAAACACATTCTAAAACACATTTATAATTACTGAGTTTGTTAGAACCTTAAATATGTTTTATAACATGTAATCCATTGGAGGAGGAGGAATATATAAAAGCAAAGGTCTTTTAAAATACTAGTCGGGTTATGCTTTGTTAGCATATATGTGCATGTATTATGTTGTTTTTACTTAGTGTATTTTAAAGTTAATACCAGTTGCTTTTGTTTTAGGCTTCCACCAAGCTGGAAAACTTGGGAAATGCATTGGATGCCATGGAACCACAGAATGCTCAACTTTTCTATAACATTACACTCGCCTTCAGCAGAACTGTGAGAGTGCCTACCATGTACCAGAGCTCTGTTATCTATAGTAGAGGGCATAAAATAAGTGGAAAAGGTGGAAGCAGGGAAGAGCATATGGCCTAGAGTGCAAATATGTATTTAAATATATGACATACTCCTAAGAAAGGCAGTTTAGAGGAGATGTGGTTTCCAGCTATAAGAAGCCCTGATAGAGGCTTTGTGGAGGAAATGCCACTTATTGATCTTTTAAGCATAGCCAAGTGCCTTCCAGGCAAAGGAAATAGAAGGTGGTTTATTTTCATCAGAGCATAGATTTATGACCAGGATTGCTCTTAGCTTTTGTTTTTTAAAACTATTTTTAAAAAATTTTAAAGTGTATAAAAGACCATTTTGGTGGAGGAAATGGTTGGTAGCTTATTTTTTTAAAAACAATAGGAAAGAAATGTTTTTATTATAAGCTCCCAGTAAAAAGAAGGTAATCAAGAATGAAATAGAAATATACAATAGAATCTCGAAATCAATACAAGGAATGACAATATTGAAAAGTTCATTAAACTAAGAAGGTTAAAATAATTAGCAAGCATAAAGTTGAAAGAAAAAAATAAAGGATATTAATTGTTAAATGACATGACTATACTGAATTTTCTTATTTAAAAACAAAGATATCAGATTGTATAAACTTTAGAGGAAGAAAACTCTGTGCTATAACGAAAGTTTGAATTAAGGAGGTATTTACCTTTTTCGGTTACCATAGTCCTAGACACATTATTTCAATTACTTTTTTACTAAGCTTATAAAAATTATATAAGTTGGTTCAAACATTTGAATAAGTATTTTACTATTAAAGATTGTTGTCTTGAAAAGTTATGTACTTATTCTAACAACACTGCTATTTCTTGAAATTTTTTTCAAGAAGATTCTAAGGCATGATCTTTTAAAATATTCTCACTGGTGGCATAGCTAGTGTTTAGGGGGAAAACAGATCCTAGTCCTAGTTTTTTATTCAATAAGAAAAAACATATGTATATTATACACACATACACACACACACATACACATGTAACCATAAAATAATGGTTTTCTTGTTTATAAAACAGTCGTGAGACAGCTTGGAAAAGGAGTTCAAAAAAATATGTTTGTGTAGTGACATCATTAGAAGTGTACTTTTCATACTAGTTATTGGGTAAAAGCATTATGTTCATTAGGATATATAAGTTCTGATAGAATATAAACTCTTGATGCATTGTGTAGATAATAGGAAAGTTTTATTTTTCCTTAATTATTATTTTTTTTCTTTTTCATCACTGCTGTGAAGTACAAATAATATATATATTTAGAAAAAATAATCCTTCAGTCTTGGTAGAAATGTTTGACTTTGAAATCTTACATAATCTTTTTTTCTTTTTAGTGTGGACGTAGTCAACTCATTCTTCAAAAAATTCAAACGTTACTTGAGAGAGCTTTTAGTTTAAACCCTCAGCAATCAGAATTTGCTACAGAACTTGGATACCAAATGATTTTACAAGGAAGAGTTAAAGAGGCACTGAAGTGGTATAAGACCGCCATGACACTTGATGAGACTAGTGTGTCTGCCCTAGTTGGTATGACAACTGTTTTCATAAATATTTATAATACAGATACAAGTAGCAATTGCTTTTAACTTGCCATTAGAGAAGAACACAAGTATTTTGTGGTTTTCTAAACTTAAATTGTTCTCTACTGCCCAGATTCGAAAAAGTCATGTCTTTAAAAATAAAATTTTTAATTCACAAATAATATCTTGAGAGAACAGATTTATATAAGTGGTTCCTATAAATTATGAATTCTTCAGTAAATGATTTTATAAGGTCCAAGGCTACTCATTTTATTTTTTTTTTCACTCTTTTCATTTTCTTTCTTTTTGTTGTTTTTAATCTAAAATGTTAAAGTATTGTGATAGGGGAAAACGTGTTTTATTAATGTTGTCATGTTAGCTTGAAGAGTGCATGCCTGAATTGGTGTGGACTTTGACTGTCTTTCTCCTGTTTGATTTTAGGATTTATCCAATGTCAGCTGATAGAAGGGCAATTACAGGATGCAGATCAGCAGCTAGAATTTTTAAATGAAATTCAGCAGTCCATTGGAAAATCTGCGGTACAGTATTTTATTTTATCAGATGGTCGATGCTAGCTGTTTATAAAATATGAAATTATAAATCAGTCTTATTGTTTTGTAATGGCTGGCAAGCACTAGTGTACACTAATTTTAATATGTAATTGCATTTATTAATTTACCTCCATGCAAAATGAAACTTTATTCTTCCGAATGATTCTGAAAGTCTATTCAAGCTAATACTTGAGTTTGAACAAATAATTGCATATCAGTAGCACATTATATGCATTTGAAATCTGAGTAGAAATAAATGGCTTTATAGCTAAATGGAATAATTTATGAAAACTACTTATTTTCTAGGAATTAATCTATTTACATGCAGTTCTTGCCATGAAGAAAAATAAACGACAAGAAGAAGTTATTAATCTGTTAAATGATGTCCTGGACACTCATTTTTCACAAATTGAAGGTTTGCCTCTTGGCATACAGTATTTTGAAAAGCTAAATCCTGATTTCTTGTTAGAAATTGTTACGGAATATCTGAGCTTCTGTCCAATGCAGGTAAGTAATTATGGGACTTACTTTCAAGGATGCATTTACATGATGTTTTATGAAAGAACTTAAAAGTTTTCTTTGATGCATTAGACTATATCGGCATCTTAAAATGGTAGTATTTGTATCTATGTTAGTTGAAATTGCTTTTAATCAGACTGTTTTAAGTAATGACTGCTGTCAACTACTGAAAGTATTGGTTTGCAGATATTCATTTGTATTTCATAAAATCTTAAAATCTTCAGTTTAAAGAAATATTAAAAGTCATCTAATTCAGACACCTACATTATATTTGCATCCAGTCTGTAACATC